TCTCTCTCTCTCTCTCTCTCTCTCTCTCTCTCTCTCTCTCTCTCTTCTGTGTGCACCCGCCGCCTGATTTCTACTCTTTCTCACTTTCTCGATGTGAGACTCTCTCTGCATCATGCCTACCCTCTCAACCCGAACAGAGCACAAAGTCATTATAGCTGTATTTTGTGCAAATTCCACTCCAGATACGGACATTATTACCAGGCGTTCCAGGCGTTCTATTGGGGTGAAGACGGTGTGTCTATGGGCGATGACAGACATTCGGCAGGGTGGCTTCCTGCCTCAGCAGGTGGTGGGAACCGACAGTCGCCAGGGTTCTACTTGTGGTGTGAGTAAGTGATAATCTGCTTTGGTTCACGTTGGACTTATGTACTGCCTTGTGTTATGCTCTCCTCAGCTGCCGTGCTGTTCCCTGCAGCTTGTCTGGTTGCCACGTACTTTGGCGGATTTGACAGCACTGCTTTGCGCCTCGCTGCATTGCTGCCTTGTGGTCCATCTGCATGCCTTGTCTTCCCACGCGTTTTGCTTGTGTGCAGTTTAGTTTGGCGGCTTTGCCAGCGCTGCCTTGCGCTGCTTTGCACCTCGCTGCATTGCTGCCTTGCCATCCATCCCCGTGCCTTGTCTTGCCGTGCGTTTTGCTTCTGTGCAGTCTAGTTTGGCGGCTTTGCTGGCGCTGTCTTGTGCTTCGCTGTGTTGTTGCCTACCTTCTTCCCCTGAATACTATGTACGGTCACTATAGCTGTGTTTGGGGTCTCTCTCAGTCTAAGACTCTAAATACAGCTATATTGACCATACGTTGTATTTGGGGGAAGAAGGTAGCTGCCTGCCCGCTCGCATTGTCATTCCATGCAGTTAGATCTGGCGCTGTGTATTTAGCGCGTTGCCCGGTGCTTTGCTATGACGTTGCATTACCATCGTGCTCTGCTTGTGCTACTGCCGGCGGGCTGTACACTTTCAACAGGGGTCAAAAGAGTCCATTACTCAACAGCATCAATATGGGCATTTCAGAGATTGTCGAGAGTTCAGCCTCCTGATAAGTCAGTGCAAGTCCCACAGAGCAATCTGTCATCATCACTTTTTTCCTTCTTTTTTTTCCTCACTCAGCCTTTGAGTTTTTTTGGTACTTGTATTATTTTTTGTCTGCTGTTTTTTGCCTTTCTACATTTGCCTTGCTGCCTTCACATACATACATACATACATACATACATGATACATACATATATACATACATACATATATACATACATACATATATACATACATACATGCATACATGCACATGCATGCATACATACATACATACATACATACATACAAACATACATACATACATACATACATACATACATTGCATGCATGCATGCGTGCATACATACATACGTACACATACATACATACATACATACATACATACATACATACATACACATACATACATACATACATACATACATACATACATACATACACACACACACACACATACATGCATACATACATACAATGTCATACATACATACATGCATGCAATCATGCATACATAAGGGTATCAGAGACCTGCCTTGTCTTGACTGAAGGAGCAGAGTACAGCTGAGCTAGATTCGCTTTACAACCGGAGAGCGATCTCCACAGAATACGGTCACACCAGGCAGGTAACCGCTTTTCCATGTACTGGTCCTCCTCACCGCGAACCATCTGGAAAACCATACCCCATGACACAACAATAAGAAAAAAAAGTGAGGACCAGTCTTTTTTTTTTCGGGGGGGAAGGGGGGGAAGGAGGTGGGGGGAGAAATGTAATGAACTGAAAGAAAAGAGAGATGCAGATGCAAGACAGACTCTGAATGAAACGAGCTGAGGGAAACAAAATCCAAGAATTTAAGGGGATTGGGGTGGGAGGGAAGAAGTGAAACCATCACAAATAAGTTGAAATAACTGAATTAAAATAATGGCTTGAAAGCACCAGAGACAAAAGGTGATGGAGTAGTGCGTGCTTTCATTGCTCTTTCGCATCTGGCAACATCAAATTTTCAGTGTAGATGCATTGTATACTATATTTTGTACGTGCAGCGGATATTACCCTCGCCATCACAGTAGGTACGGTGGATATTACCAACGAGCTTAGCGCAGTTGGTACGCCCACAAACTGTTGAAATACAGACCTGAGTTGGAATCCTGATGGTATAATGGACGGAATGAGTTGAATGAGTAAAATAAATTCGGAATAAATGATGGTGAGGGCCGGTCACTTAAATGATGGTACCGCGACGCCGATCCACTGTACATCACCCAGTGGATATCCACCTCATCCACCAGATATCCAGGGGATATTCATCTTATTGAACCTTATTCAGTGGATATGAACTGGTCCACTGGATATCCACCTTATCAACTGGATATCCAAACATTATACACTGGATATCCTCCTTATATCCAAACATTATTCACTGGATATCCTCCTTATATCCACACCTTATCCACTGGATATCCTCCTTATCCACCACCGGATATCCACAGCTTATGAACACTGGATATCCACACCTGATCCACTGGATATCCACCTCATCCTCCACCTGATCCACTGGATATCCAACTAATCCACTAGATACCCAGTGGAGGAGGTGGACATCCCGTGGATGAGGTGGATATCCAGTGGATGAGGTGGATATCCCGTGGATGAGGTGGATACCCAGTGGACTATGTGGACGTCCTCCTTATCCCCTGGATATCCACACCTTTCCACTGGATATCCAGTGGATGAGGTGGATATCCTGCTCATCCAGTGGATATGATTTTGAACACTGGATACCCACACCTGATCCACTGGATATCCACCTCATTCTCCACCTGATCCACTGGATATCCAACTAATCCACTAGATACCCAGTGGACAAGGTGGACATCCCGTGGATGAGGTGGATATCCAGTGGATGCGGTGGATATCCTGTGGATGAGGTGGATACCCAGTGGACTATGTGGACGTCCTCCTTATCCCCTGGATATCCACACCTTTCCACTGGATATCCGGTGGATGAGGTGGATATCCCGCTCATCCAGTGGATATGATTTTATCCAGTAGATATCCATCTCATCCAGAGGATTAATCAAGCCTTAACGTGAGGCATTACAGCTCACGCCTCACGGTATACATTTAGCACCTTTTTTCTTCTTTCTCTTCTTTTCTTTTTTTCTTTTTCTTTTCAGGGTCTAGCATCACTCTTTCTTGTACATGGTTACCATCTGGACATCCGGACGGTCATCCAGACCATCTGCATGTCTAGGTATGGAAGTCAAGGTCCACAGTTCCAACCGGGCAATGTAAGCATATATTAATTTTGGAAATCTTTCATTTCCACCATTTCAAAAAACTTCAAAAAAATCTGAAGAAAAGATATGCTATGCAGCATTGCAAGACAAACAACTTTTGGCTGCGGGTCATCTCAAAATTCGTTCCCAAATCCAAAGAAAAAACAAAACAAAAAAAGGGAGGGGGAATCTTAAAAAAGTTAAAAAAAATATTAAAAACTTGTTAAAAAGGATTACCTTAAATGTGGGAGCGAAGTTGATCTCCCCCTCTTTGAAGTCTGCAAAAACTTGTCCTGCTTTTCGTTCCTTTGTGAGCTATTATGAAGATAAGACAGAAAAGAAAAGACAGTGTGACAGCAAAAATAACGAAAGAAGCCACTATTATTTCAGTCCACCAAAGAGCTTAGAGGGCACCATGGCCAAACAAACAAACAAACAAAAAAAAAAAA